TTTATGACATATATATATCCAAAACCCTAGATCTTTTCGTCCCCTCTTTTCCCATTTCCCTTTCACAGTTTCACTTTCCCTCACCAAAACCCTAGATTTTCCCTCTTCTCTCCCTCACCACCTCACTCCGTCCGTCCACCACTAGTCCGGTACTTCGGTATCTCACCGCCGCTCAACGCTCACCAATCACCACCACGTTCTGATTCAGTCAAAGGTAAGAATACCTTCTCTTTTCAGATTTCACTTCTCTTTTCCTGCTTCTCTTCGATTTTGCGAATTTGATGTTTTGTTATGTTCGAAATGGTAATATTCCTTTGTGAATTGGTGAATTTGATGTTTTATAGTTCGAATTGGTGAATTTTCCTTTGTCCAATTGTCCCTAGATTTCCTTTATTTTGTTCGAAAACTTCGAATTGGTGATAGATTGATCGTTTGGTGATATTTGATGTTCGAATTGGTGATAGATTGATTGTTTTGTGATAATTAATGTTCACCCATAGCCTCTGTTTGATATGTTTTAATAACAACAATTATTATATGATGTTTTTTTTCAATATTTCATATATATTATGTAACTTGTTTTTTTTGTTTCTGTTGTTAGTTGAGAAATTTGACACAATTGGTGGTGGTCAAAATAACCAAGACTTGGTTGAGCTTGATTGAACGGTTGAAGAGTTGAAGCTGCCAGCCAATTAAGCTACTGCCATGGTTTCATTAAGGTGCTGCCAATTGAATTAAGTTTGCTGCTGTTGGACTGTTATTTCATTTTTAAGATTTCTATTATGTCTGTAATTTTATTCTAATGGCTGGAATGTTTTTTTTTTAATAATTATGCTATTACTTAATGTGACAAATATTAGTCTTAAAGACTTTAGTTTTTTCTTAAAAATTTGTTCAGGAAACGTACAAAATTTAGGCCTTTAAAATGACTAAAACAATAGGCCCAAATAAAAGCCCAAATTTAAGGCCCAAAATGACAGCCCAAAAAAATTCGATTTGGATTAGATTCATTTTTCAAAACCGAATTATTTCGGTTTGGATTGGATTGGATTGAATCCAAATTCGGTTTGGATTCGGTTTCAAAAATCTGAAACCGAAATAATTCGGTTTGGATTCGGTTTGGAGTAAAATCCAAACCGAATACCGAACTTTCACCCCTACCGACTTTAATCGTGCATGCATGTTGTTAGAATTTAAAAAAGAAGAGTCCGACAAAACTTCTCACAACACTCCGACACTTAAAAAAGCCAACGTCGCTAGTTTTCTCTAAACCCCGTACCTCTCTGACATTTCCCCCTTAACCAAGATCCAACACCCTCTCTCCTCCCACACGGGTACACGTGCCACACACTTTCTCTCAAATCTCTCCACACGTGCCACCACCCTGCAATAACCCAATAACTCTCCTCTCCATGCACACAACACAATCACAAAATCACAAATACCACCATTATTCCTCCTTTAAAACCGCTTCTGGTATTCCGGCCTCCTTTTCCGGTTTTCCGGCACCTATAATCCTCTCTAACAGCTTCTGGAACTTTCTAGAGAGTTGAAAATGGAGTCGATTCTTGCAAGAGCGTTGGAATACACGCTTAAATATTGGTTGAAATCTTTCACCAGAGATCAGTTCAAGCTTCAAGGCCGTACTGTTCAGCTCTCCAATTTAGGTTTACATTTTTGTTATTTTACTGTTGATTTGTTTATTTTAGCAAATGAATCGAATTTTGGTTTTGTGATTAGTTGAATTATGCTGTAGCATGATTTTCGAGGTAGAATTGCGATTTATTTTGGATTTAATTGCGTGATTTCGATGAAATTTGTGGAATTTTTGATTTGAATTTTGATGATTTTTTTTTTCTTCCTAAAAATGTAGATATTGATGGAGATGCGCTACATTCGAGCCTCGGATTGCCCCCGGCGATTACTGTTACTACAGCCAAATTAGGGAAATTGGAAATCGTGGTACGTAATTCGGTCTCGGTTTTTGTTTGGTTGAATTGTTGATTTGATGGACATTTTGAATAGGAGGTAGTAATCTTATGCTTCATATATATATGTAAATGTGTAATAATTGTTGATTGGAAGGACATTTGATGGGAATGTAGTTATAGTAGTGGTTGATGCAGACAATAGTAAGGTTGTGTGATAAAGTGGAGATTTTCTTCGAATTATAATGATTAAGACTTGAGATTTCGTTGTTTTGAGTGTAGCTACCATCGGTAAGCAATGTGCAAGTAGAGCCAATTGTTGTGCAAATAGATAGACTTGACTTGGTTCTTGAAGAGAATGCGGATGCTGATACGAGTCAGAGTTCCAGCAGGTATGATCATTGCTTTATCGATTTTGAACTGAAAGGAGTCTGGTTTTGTAATGGACTATGTATATAGGTTGTTTTTGTAAATTATCCGGGAGTATGATTTGGGAAGTGTTTTTGCAGTTCTCAATCCGCTAGTAGTACAGGAAGAGGGAGCGGTTATGGATTCGCTGATAAGGTGAACTTGATTATTTTTCCCCCCTTTCTGTTTCGGCCTTGCCATTATCATTTCAAAAGACTTTTTTGCAAAATATGAGTTCAAATAAGGGCTATAGAGTTAAAATGACAACTTTAAATATATTTAAATAAATTTAGGTAAATTCAATGAAGTTCAAATGAGGGTTTACTGGTAAAAAGATAAAGTATAACATGTGTTGTGGACTTGTGGAGATAAGATAAAACCATAGTTTGTTTTATCTTATGTTGGAAATGAACATAGCTTAGACTCTTAGAGTTCTTATATGTGAGTTTTGTTATTATTGCTTTTCTCTTGATTCTAGCTGTTACGTTTTTGACTTTTGTCTCATCCTGTCACATGTTATTGAGAGAGCATTTTAAGCTTAAGCTATTATTTGAGTTTTTTTTTTTTTTTTTTTTTTTTTTTTTTTTTTTTTTTTTTTTTTTGGGTTGGAGTCCAGTTGCGTTGAGGCATCTTTGATTAATATTAAGAATCTTTTGTTCTTCATTCCGTGTTATGGCAAGTTGGCAACCTGACTATCCTTAACATAAGTTTAATTACTGTGTATATTCTGCAAATCTGCATTCATCAATTAAATGTAGCTACTTTGATGTAAAAACGTTAAGTTAAAGTTAGCCATGCTTTTAGTATTGTAACATATAATAGTGATCCATTTTTTTTTAAAAAATGGTGGAACTATAAGTGATGGTTTCCCGTTCAGTATTCAGACTTCCATATTGATGTTGACAAGGTTGTTATATTTTTTATATAATTTAGTCCCTACTATTTAGTATTTACATTAATGGACAGGGATACTTCCATCTGGCAATTTTTCCTTTTCTTCTTCAATTGAATTTTAGTGCTTGTTTTAGTTAGTGAACTTAGCTGCAGGCCTGCAGGCTGCAGCCAAGTAAACTAAGGTACTACTTTGGTGAGCTTAATAGCTCAAGAAACATATGAAACTAGATAGAAACCTTCATCGCCTAATCCACTGTCACCTGTCTTTTTTTTTTTTTGACACTGTCACCTGTCTTTTTTTTTTTTTGACACTGTCACCTGTCTTTAAACTTTGCAAGAATATATCAGGGATCAACAGGAATGCAGAGTGATGGAATGTCCTGATAAAAAATGACTCCGTAGCTTTTATTATTTATTCCTAATATCAAATAGGTGCCTAAGGTAAAATAAATAGTTAGGGTTGTCAATGTCTTTTGGGCTCAGGCCCTTTCCTTCTTAATGTTTTTCAATTATCCTTTCTTTTCTCTCTGAGGCCGTGTGACGGTTGTCTGAGAAGGGATTGAAATGGGTAAACAGGAAAATTTGTATTCCGAATTTTAGATATTCTTGTCTCTGCATTTTTTGGTTCTTTTCCTTCAACTGTCTCTATCATCATGCTTTGTTGTGCATGCTTCTGGTGGACCAAGATTTATGTGTCATAAATTAATTGTTTAAGGGACTCAATTTCTACATTGAGTCATTGTGGCATAGTGAATATATTGACTATGGTCCCTTGTTGCCAAAACGGATACAAGCAAGATAAAGCGAAAATAATAAACAAAAAGACACAAATTGTAAGCAGTTGATTAATGATGCTTTAGCTCTATGTTACTTGGATTCGGGTACCCATGTCCGACTCGGCTATTTTGTGAAAAAATTCCATGATTTTGAACTAAATGTTAAGTGTCCGGGTGTCGTACCCATGTCCGAATGTCGAGGGTCCGACACGGGTACGTAAGGTGAAATGAAGAGTCCGAGTAACATAGTTTAGCTACATCCATGTAGAGTAGAGGAAGTTTTATTGATCTTGAGGATAAGCTGATTACAAATTATGCTGAGTTATGAATTAGGGTGTTTATATATTACTTTTGAAACTGAAAAGTGAAAATAAAAGGCCTTTAAAAAATGCCTAAACGGAAAACATATTCCATAATAATGATAGACTGAGTTAAGGCATATTCCAATACCTATTAGCCATACCAACAAGTACAATGCTGTTTATATCGTATCTGACTATCTTTGCTGCATCAGATTGCAGATGGGATGACAATAGAAGTACAGACTGTAAATCTTCTACTTGAAACTCGAGGAGGTGGTCGTCGCCAAGGTGGAGCAACATGGTAACATCAACCTTTTGACTGTAGTACAATCATCAATTACTTTTCTTTAGTATGATTGGATATTAAAGATCAAGCTGCATTAAACTTTTACCTTCTAGCTGATTGCTGTATATTGTTGTCATTGTCATTATTATGTTTTGTAGGACACCTCCTATGGCATCTATTACTATGCGTAACCTTGTACTTTACACCACCAATGAAAACTGGGAGGTTCGTATACTAGTAATGGTTTCCTCTGTTGATTTTCTTGCCTAAAGCAAATGTTCAAGTAAAACGTTATTTTTCTGGCAGGTTGTAAATCTTAAAGAAGCAAGGGATTTCTCGAGCAACAAGGATTACATCTATGTTTTCAAAGTAATTGTGTTGCTGTTTTTTATTTTTAGGTTTAGGACTTCTTGTTATATTCATTATAATAGTCCTGAATTGTCTTTTTAGTGGTAACTATCAAAGTGTCCTTGTTTTATTTTAATTCATAAATCACCTGTCCTTGAATGCTATGTTAATCGGACACGGCTAATATCGCAAAGTGTCTGTGTCGACATTTCATGGACACGGACACATGACATGTGTCCGATCCTTCACTATGCACTCGGACACTTCCATTAGGAGAGGAGAGGAAAAAATAGAAGAAACATGAAAGAAAAATATGTCTTGTTCGAAAACCACCATTAATATATAGAAAATGGAGATTAGAAGATTGCCATTTATTTGATGAATTTACCGAGGAAAGAATTAAGATAAAAAAATAGGGGTAGACATAATGAAAAATTTAAAGCTTTTGTAATATATAATTTATTTATATAAATTTAAGTGTCATATTGACGTGTCCCCATACCCGTGTCCTAAAATTTTGGAACTTGCTGAATCGGACACTTCGACATGTATCTGTGTCCGACACCTGTTCCCGAGTCCATGTAACGTAGCTTGAATGTATAAATACTTCCTCATTTCCAAATTAGTTGACGTGTATTCCTTTTTGGGTAGTTTCTTTTTAATTTACGCGCTTCTATTTTATTAGGAAATTTTTATATGTTAAAATGTCAATTTTACCCTTATTATTTTCTCTAACTCATCTTCTCTCTCCTACCTTTACCATAAGAGGCCCTCTGAATTTTCACTCTTACATTATCATCTTCCCCACTCCATCGCCGCCGCCACCACCACCACCACTTCATCTCTCTCCTCTCTTTCTGGTACACACCCAATTTTCTGGCGAAACACTTTACCTGAACATCTCCTCCACCCACTACTTCCAAGCTCTCACGGTCTTACCTTTGGCTGTTTAATGGTTGACAACAAGAGCTCTGCCATTGTTGCAGTGGTCAAATATGAGAACGGAGGAAAACTTGGAAGAAAATGAAGTGATAAACCTTAGTTTTAATAGCCAATACCCCTTTCTCTTCATTGAGCGAAATGGGACATGCTTTCCACAACATTTGAACCTGAAGACACTAAAACTTCTAATACCCAAAATTTTTGTATCCAACCGCGCTGGAGTTAGGTGGTTTTAGGTAGATTAGTTGGTGTCTTAGATGGTTGTAGCGGGGAGACTTAAGTAAGGAGGGAAGATGAGAGAAGATTAGTGGTGAGAAGGTGGATGGAGGTGAGGTGTCTGATGAGTAATGGAGGTGGTAATGCAGTCCCTGCAGTGGGCTCAAGAGGCTGCTTGTTTATTGTCAACTGGGCGTGCACCATGTCAAGGTAAGGTCCTTAGGTGGGTTAGGTTGGATAAGGGGTAGGGATTGGTAAGGGCATTTATTTTTCTTTCTCACTTTTCCTTAATATTTGTGCCAAAATTAAATGTTTCAACTAATTTGGAACGGAGGAAGTATCAATATGTCATGCATGATTTTATCTCAATATCTCTTTACTTTTCTGCCAGAAACTTGAATGGGGATCTCTGTCCATCGATCTTCTTCCTCATCCTGACATGTTTATGGATGGCCGTGTTCAAGAGGGGGCAAACAAGAGAGATGATGATGGAGCAAAACGTTTATTCTTTGGCGGCGAGCGCTTTCTTGAGGGGATATCGGGACAGGCTTATGTATGGTTTCATGTTTCATTTGACTTGGCATGTATCTGCAAATGGTGTTTCTACAATGTTAATTCATCAATTACTTTGTTTTCCCATCAGATAACAGTACAGAGGACACAGCTTAACGACCCTTTGGGGCTTGAGGCCAGGTTGCATATAACTGAAGCTGTTTGTCCTGCTTTGAGTGAACCAGGTTAGGGATACACATACACACACAGATGTTATTCCATCCTGATATGTTCTCTGTAGTTACCTACTGTTCTGTTTACCAGGACTCCGAGCTCTTCTTCGCTTCTTAACAGGACTGTATGTATGCCTTAATAGAGGAGATGTGGATCCAAGGGCACAACAGGTTTGGCCTGACCTCTTATTTTAGATAGAATTTATTGGTGTCTAGCTGATATTAAGGCTATTTTGTGTATCTTCAGCGATCTACAGAAGCAGCTGGCCGTTCATTAGTCTCGATTGTTGTTGACCATGTTTTTCTCTGCATTAGAGACACGGGTCAGTCCCATTCAGAATTTTCTAACCTTTTTCTTTCCCTTTATTTTCTACTTTCAATTCTGGTGTAACTGTAGAATAATGGTTGTTGTTGGCATTTTAGTAATACAAAACCTTGACCCCCCCCCCCCCCAAAAAAAAAAAAAGATCTTATCTGACATTTGCTGACTATATAGTTTTCTTGCAGAATTCAGGCTTGAACTTCTGATGCAGTCTCTCTGCTTTTCTCGGGTATGGTCTTGTCTTAGTCTGTAGTCTGTATCCTTGTGGAATACTATATTTAGTCTAATGGCTCAAATCTTCAATTCTTGCAAAATATATTCAAGTGATTGCAAGTTTCAGATCTCCAAATTGATTTGCTTTTTTTCTTTTTCTTTTTCTTTTTGTGCGACTTTCTGTACATTATGTGGTTTGTATTGTTTCCATAATAAGATTATACTTGTGCCAATTCAAGGAATGAATGGGAAGCAAATATAGATTGTGCAACTGAAGTCATATCAATTATTTCCATAGTTCACAAGCCTGCTCCCTCCCTTGTTTGGCTAAAAGATTTAATATCTGATTTCTTTATAGAGTGACAACATATTTTGTTGGCTTTACCCATGTTTGATTCAAAGTTTGTCATCCGGAAATCCTTTACCTATAGGGATTAATGCTTTTTATTGCACATGCGAATTCAGAAGGGGACATCAAAGTCGCATATGCTTAGTACTGGCATACCTAGCCACCTCTGCTCTATTTGGGAATTCCTGACTTTCTTATACATGTTTGTCTTTAATTGTGAATCTACCAGAATTAGGGAGTTAGGGACTACTCCCTCCGTCCCATAATACTTGGGACGTTGGGGTGGATACGTAGTTTAAGAAAACTACAAGTGGGTCCATTTAAAACATTTGTTTATTATATAAAAGATTTTCTTTTGTATTTTTATATTTAAAGAAAACAACAAGTGAGGGTTAGGTGGGGGTAGTGAGGAGAGAGAAAATATGAGAAAAATATTATTTTATTAGTAGTCCCATACCATATTTAGTAACGTGTCAAGTATTGTGGGACAGACGAAAATGGGAACCGTGTCAAGTATTGTGGGACGGAGGTAGTATTAGTTTATGTGAGTTGGGTAAGTTGGTTGTGAAAAGAATTTGTGACCCTTACGTTGAAGCTAGTTCTGGTGAAAAAGGGAGAAGCCAACTGCCATGTGAAACTACTTTTGATTTGCAGTAGCATTGTTGTGATATTGGGTACACTGAGTCTTGGAGACGTTACACTTTGTTAAATATTGCACATTGATTAGACATTTCTAAATTATGCTTCTAAATCATAGGATTGGGGATTTGAACATATTTATAATTTTATATCAACATCTCATAACCATATTAAAAACCCTAGAAGACTTAGGGCCTGTTCTCTCAGATTTTTTTTTCCAGTTTAGTTTAGTTCAGTTCAGCTCAGCTCTAATAAGTTCAGTTCAATTCTTATCTTATCTTATCTTAATTTCCTTCTCTCATAAAATATTAAGTTCAGCTGAGCTCTAATAAGTTAAGTTAGCTGAGCTCAGTCCAATCAATTAGAACAGGCCCTTAGTAAACACTTCCTATGTTCTTTTATTACTATAACTATGAAACTTTTGCACTATTCACACACTCTCCTTGACAGTTTGACAATTAACCTTGATTTATATGCAAGGAAAATAGTCACGTGGGATATTTTTAGATTCGTCTTGGTCTGTATTTCTCCGAATATCAATTAACGATATTCATAGATATTTAAAGATATTTAAGGTTAGGTTTATGCTTTGGGTAGCGTTATCCCCATGTGTTGCACTAATAAAAGAATGGAGGAAGAATATGCTTCAGCTTAGTCTGTTAAGGATCAACTTTTTTTAAAAAAATTCTCCATCTAAATTTCTGCAATTTCTATTCTGTCTCCTGCTTCATCACTCAGCCAGTTGGATTTTTCTTTATTCTTTGCTTCTTTCTCTGCCGCGTTTTTTGATGCCTTGCATATATTACCTGCCATTCAAGTGTCTTCTCCATTTTATACCCTCACTGAGCGTTCGTTGGAAAAATGACATTAGAAGCAGACTTACAGCTTGAATGGATTCTTGCACTCTGTTTGTAGTAGTTCTAAATCAAGAGTAGCTTAGTATAATAAGTCCGTAGTAGATTTACTTTCTTATTAATCCCCGTTTACTGGCCTGTTTATTTTACATTGCAAATTGTATCCAGGAAATATTTGGTATACTTTCTTGTGGCTTCTGCTAATTTTGTTCCTATTTATGTCAGGCAAGTGTATCTGATGGAGAAAAAGCCAAAAACTTGACACAAGTTATGATTGGTGGACTTTTTCTGAGGTGAACTTTATATCTAACCTATCATTAGTCTACCTTCCTCTGTCATCCCTGGTTTTGCATAATCTTCATATGTATGTATCTGGACTTGTGCGTCACACAATAACTCGTAGTAAATTTGGTCTCTGAATTATTTAATTTGGATTTCAGGTTGGTTAAATATTAGCTTGGGTGCCTGTTGCCTAATCCATTCATTGCCTACGTTTTTTTGTGCTAAGCTAACTTCATGTGAATTATCTCCCGTTTATTAATTAGCGGGAACCAAGCAGCAGTGGCATATCAAATCAATTTTAGCTAAAATTTCTAGTTTTTGCACCTTTCTGATTGCTTTGACTATTTCATTAGGCTTCCAAGTCTTTTGAACTTGATAAAATAAAAATAAAGTTACTAGGGCTAGGTATGTGAGGGTGTGTGGTGTAGCATAGGGTATAGGGAGGGACCTTTATTTAATTATCGTGGGGGGGGGGGGGGCGGGGGGAGGGTGTTTGGAATTGAGAAATGGGCCTGGGGCAGTCCCCCTGTTATGAACTCTTTTGAGTTTGCTATTTCTCATTCTCTCTCTCTCTCTCTTTTTAAATGCTACTATTACTATTGTCTTCTTTTCTATTGCATGGTAAACTGTTTATCGTACTTAATTATGATGTTTTCAATCACTTCCCCCCCTTTCTTTTCAACAACTGTATTAGGAGTGCTTCTTTAGTAATCACTTTACTTTCAGTTGATTGAATCATTATATCTCTCTCAAAATGGGGGTCAAATATTTGACTTTTAACATTGTGTGTGTATGTGCGCTCGTGTGTGTGTGTGTGTGCGTGCGTGTGTGTGTTTGTGAGATTCGCCGGTAGCTTGTCAAGCAGAAAATATTTTTGTTCATTGGAAAACTATTGATGCTCATACCCATTTCATACACAAGTCTGGGTACACTGCTATCATTCCTAGTCTTGCGCTCCGGCCTGTTAGATAAATAAATCTCATTTATTTCCGATGAACATAAAGTCACAGTCTTTTTGATACGACCTCTAAGATTTATTATACATTGGGTGGTTATTTAAACAATTATACTTTGCTAAACGTAGATGATCTTTAAATTGTTGTAGGAGCAAAGGACATTGAATTTTCTTACTGGTAATTGACGTTAGAGACAGAGGGCAGCATTAGGGTTTTGCTTTTACGGTTTTAATATAATGGTTATTTAAAAAGAGAGATTTGTCATTAATTGTAAAATTGGCCGTTGAAGTCTAGTGTCTATGTAGATTTGTTTAGCACCTGTATTAATTTGCTATTGCTCACGCCTCACCTAAGGTTGAAGGTTTGGTTCCATAATTCTTTGTAATTTTTTTTTTTTTTATTTTTTTTTTTTTTATTTTTTTTAATACAAACTAGTCTATTATGATATTAAACCTTTCAATTTCATGTTGGACAGTGGACATACATTATATTGCTTTGGTAGTTTGCATCAAAGTGGCAATTTTAGTCATAATTTTTAATATGAGTAATTGTTTTATTTGCACTGAATAATATCTGATGTTCTTGTTCATCATGCAGGGATACATTTTCTCAACCTCCATGCACTTTAATCCAACCATCAATGCAGGCGTTAGCAAATGATTATCAGCATATTCCTAATTTTGGTACAGCTGTTCTGTTTCTTTTTCCTTATAACAATTATTAGCTAAATGATCTGAGTTATGTATTTTGAACTTTAGAATAGCTTTTAATGCTTACACAGTTACACTTATGTGCTAACTTACTTCTATATATATATGTATAGGAAATTTTGCAATATACCACCTTTTATAACCAATTTTTTTGCAAGAAACCACCTTATATTTGTTTTTTTTTTTTTTTTTTTTTTTTTTTTGTTTTTTTTGCAAAGACACACCTTAATTAAATTTTTTTTTGCAACGCCACACCTTTGGCCGGAAAATAGGGTTTGACCCTGTATTCCAGTGTTGATCCGAACACGTTCATGTCACGTGACATCTTTAAGTCAAAGCCTATGGCTGATAAGCAATTCTGGAATATTATGTCTGGAAAAGAAAAAAAAAAAAAATTTGTATAACAAATGCGCAGTATTTATAAAAATAAAGCACTCTCAAAAAAGAAATTTTTTGGAAACTCCCTTACCCCTTAGTTTTGCTTCAGCCTGCACCTCATCCTTGTACTCTCATTGATTATACTTAACACTGGATATGCTATGGATGGATGATGAACCTCTTGTCAAGAGTTGGCTGCTAGCAAGCTCTGGTGGCCCTTCCTGATGGGTTATGCAGTAGTGAAGGTTTGGAGGTTGGCCATAGGGGGAGCTTTCTAGATTCTTTTACCTTGATTTGAATGAGAAAAACTTTCTACCAGTAAATTCTATTTTGTATTTTTAATATTTTTTATAGTGAGTGTTACAATAAAGTTTTACTAGTTGCAGACTTGCAGCCTTTGCACTGTGGATCTAAATTTAACTAGTCAATGGAAGTGTTTTGGCAGTTTCTAGATTCTTTTACCTTGATTTGAATGAGAAAAACTTTCTACCAGTAATTCTATTTTGTCTTTTTAATATTTTTTATGAGTGTTACAATAAAGTTTCACTAGTTGCAGACATGCAGCCTTTGAACTGTAGATCTAAATTTAACTAGTCAATGGAAGTGTTTTGGCAGTTTCTTGACTTGGTTTGTCTGAAGAATCTGTATTTTGGTGGAAATTAAATCTCATTAGTCATTAAAGTCTATTTTTTTCTCTATTTTTTGGACAGCAATGGACTTCTCTCCCCCAATATACCCGCTGGGAGATAAATATTGGCAAGCAAATGAGGCTGCCTCTTTTATAAGTATCCATTCTCTGCAGGTGACGCCCTCGCCAGCTCCTCCACTGTTTGCTTCACAGACAGTAATATCTTGTCTGCCTCTTCTGGTATGTTGCGATTTTTATTACATATTTACATCTCTAGGCTTTTTGGAGTTGATTATTTTTCTGATTTCTAAACTCTATAAGTTTGCACCTTGTTCAGATCCATCTTCAGGAGGAGTCTTGTTTGAGAATATGTTCCTTTTTAGCTGATGGAATTGTAGTCAATTCCGGCTCCATCTTGCCAGATTATTCCATCAATTCTGTTATGTTCACTCTAAAAGAACTAGATCTTACAGTTCCATTGGACTTTGCAAAGGCAGGTAATAATGCCTGCAGTGGTGATACTGCTTTCCAGGATTTGTTTGCTGAAGCTAAGCTTCACATTGAAAATCTGTTTTTTTCTGAATCACCTGCACTAAGTATGAGCGTGCTTGATTTGGAGAAGGATCCTGCTTGTTTTTGCCTCTGGAGTGATCAACCTATTGATGCTAGCCAGAAAAAGTTGTCTGCTGGAGCTTCTTACGCAAGTTTGTCTCTTGAAACATCTGAAGATGCAGATGGTCAGCAAAATTCTTCTAATTCATCTTTGGTATCGTGGAGGTGTGTTGAGGTGAAAGAGGCTTGTGTTGAGGTAGCTATGGCGACTCTAGATGGCAGTGTGTTGGTTCAAGTTCCTCCTCCCGGGGGTATTGCGAGATTTGGTATTGCCTGTAAGCAATATTGCTCTAATGCTTCTGTTGAGCAGTTGTTTTTCATCCTGGATCTCTATGCATATTTTGGAAAAGTAAGTGAAAGGATAGCATTAGTAGGAAAGAGTAATAAATCGGCAATTCAGAGAACTGAATCATGGAATGATGAGCTGATTTCTAAGGCTCCCAGTGATACTGCTATGAGCTTTGCCATAAAGGACCTTCAATTGAAGTTTCTGGAGGATTCATGCAAGACTACACAGGGGAAGACTTTGGTTCAATTTATCGGGGAAGATCTGATTGTTAAAGTAGGTCATAGAACCCTTGGCGGAGTCATTGCTATATCATCAACTATACACTGGGAAACTGTGGAAGTGGATTGTTTAGACGTGGAGGGTAATTCTATGCTTGGCAACAGCACACTGTCAACTCCCTGTGCAAATGGCTCTCTGATTACTGCAAATGGATGTCCGCAGCTCAAAGCTGTGTTATGGGTAGAGCATAAAGGTCAGAGTCAGTTAAGTGGAAGAGCAAAGCATGCTCCTTTCCTCGATGTAAGTATTGTGCATGTTATACCTTCCCAAGCTCAGGATGCTGGTTGTCATAGCTTGAATGTGTCAGCTTGTATTAATGGTGTTCGTTTGGGTGGAGGAATGAACTATACTGAAGCCTTATTACATCGATTTGGAATTCTTGGTCCTGATGGGGGCCCTAGTGAAGGGCTTTTGAAAGGGTTGGAGAACTTGTCTAGTGGTCCACTGTCAAAAATCTTCAAGGCACCGTCTCATACTGTGGATCATGTGAAAGAAAGTATGATATTTGTCTTGCTTCTATTTGTAGTGTGTGCATCACAAAGCATGAGTGACTTCTTGTCATACGTTATGTACTGGCACTTGCATATGCTTAATCTCAATGCTGTCCTGCTTGAATCCTTGGCATTAACTATAATGAACATGAAAATATTAATTAAAAATATACATTCATTTTGCAGATGGAACATGTGACAGTAGCCATGATAGTTTATTTTCTCACCTGGGAAAGCCAAATGAAGTGGATGTGCTGGTTGATCTGAGAAATTGGTTGTTTGCTCTTGAAGGCGCACAGGAGATGGAAGACAGATCATGGTTTGATAACCATGTAAATACTAATAGGGAAGATAAGTGTTGGCATACTACTTTCAAGAGCTTGAAGGTTAAGGCAAAGAATACTCCAAAGGACCTATTGAACTGCAGTGTAAAGTCCAATGGTGATCATAGATATCCTGTGGAACTGATAATGGTGAGGATTCATTCTCTTAATTTCCCTCAAACTCAAAAATTAGCCCTTGGTGCTCTTATCTACACAAACACTAATATCTAACTAACTGAGATTAAATTTGTGACCAGTTGGTGTAATTGGTGCTCTAGCTCAGTTTTCTTCTGATCCATATTTTATTTTTGCTGGATTTGAGTGACTACTCTCACATCAATTAGCTATTTTTCCGAAAAATGTTGAGAGCGAGTTTAAGAATAGGGGATTATCATTTAGACTTCTTGAAAGAACACTTATTGGAAGTTGTGCTTTCACGAGGAGGACGGCGTAAAACTACAGCAATGTAATTATTTTGCTTAAAAATATTGTAAAATTTTACTTACTGAAGAATTCTGTCAAGAGCATCAAAGTCAAGAACAGTATCACGATACTTGGTTACTTTAACAGGTCACTTAACCCTTAGATCAGATGATGGCATTGTCATGACACTCTGACTGATATAATCCTATATGCTTGGGATACACCCTCAAGGGTTAAATCTTTGTAGGGATTGATGGAGAAGAGAGAAGTCTTTAATTAGTATTACCAACTTTACTTATCTTCAATGTTTTCTTTTGCACAATGGCGCATTAAGTGGTTGGTATATATAGCCATGAAAGGTGCTACAATAGTGCCATAATATTATTCAAATTTAGGGTCTAAATGATAAATAGATCAAGATTCAAAGCTTAAAGAGATTTGATGGGGAGTGTGCAATTTTTTTGGTCATGTTACTCACCTGTCATTGCTCTCTGGTGTATTCTCAGATGACATCCAATTCAATCTGTTAGTCTTTACTGGTTAAGATTTTAGGTTTTTGTCTGCATGAAGGACGTGCTCATTCCATTTTGATTTTCTTGTAATTCTGGGCGAGGATGTGGGGCTTCTCTGAGAAAGTCATATGAAGCTTACTAAATCCTAATCCCCCCTAACCTACTACTCCGTACCTTTTAGCGCTTTATCTTTCTCTGCAACTTATATGCTTTATATATATGTACTCTTGGATTGAAGAAACAGTTGTACTCCTATCAAGATTAATGGAACTGGATTATCTGTAGTTGATTTCTCTCTTTATAAGCTGTTTGTCTAATAGGGCATTAAATTTATGTATTTTCGATGAAGTTCTAGGGGAATTTAGGTAATTATATCCAAGTTTTTTTTTCCTTATTTTATATATAAACTCTAATTTCTGGACAATTAAGACGAGTCATTCCAGTCAAGAGGATAGCTCAAGAAACCTTTTTAGGCCATATTAAAAATTTGAAAAGTAAGTGTTTAATCCTTTAATCCTTACTGATGTGACTGCACCCAATGTTCTTTGAAAAGTATAATTGTCTGAGCAGCATAGACTAGTATACCCTGCTGGTCATTCTCAACTTATGTAAAATAACTAATGTATAATGTGTGCAGATTGGCGTTGAAGGTTTGCAGATGGTGAAACCTCAAGTCCAAACAAGCATCCATACAGTGGAGTTTCCTGTCATTGCTATTAAAGAAGCAGATATGAAGAAATTCGGAGGGGTAAATGTTGAGGTTCATATGGTTGTCTCGGAAGATGGTTTTGATGATGTAACAGACAACTGGATGGTTGAAAACCTTAAATTTTCTGTTGAGCAACCGGTATGAGTTTAACTTTTTCAATTTCTGTGTATGGACATTTATTCGACTTTTTGAGTCCGTCTCTAGCCATTTTCAATTCGTCATTGCTTGTGGGGTGCATTTTTCTGTAGATTGAGGCTGTTGTTACCAAGAATGAGCTGCAGCATCTTGCCTTTCTTTGCAAATCTGAAGTTGACTCTTTTGGAAGAGTGGCTGCCAGTGTTTTGCGACTTTTGAAACTGGAGGGTTCAATTGGTCAAGCAGCTATCAATCAGTTGAGCAACCTCGGTAAATTCTTAATACTACAATCCTACATATTAACACAAGTTTCTGTCCTAAACTAATGCAAGTTTAGGGTAACTTGGCAAGTTGAGTTCTAGTGTCCATGTCTTATTTACTGGTTGCTATTCCCTCTGATTCAAAATAAGCTCCTTCTAGCATGTTCTACATGTTAAGAAGTTGGCTGTATTTTGTCAAAGCTACGCTTGTTGTGTAAAATGGCATTTAATATTGCATTGATTAAATACAATAAATGCAAATATCTTGGAAATATTATCAACTAGTAAACCCAACACAGTAAAAATTACAAACCGTGGGAAAGAGGTTCGCCTACTAGTCATCTATGAAAAAAGTTACATTTTTTTTTTTTAAAGTGAAGTAGTTGCATATTTATACTCAAAAGTTAAACAAAAGGTGAAAAGCTAACTAGTTTGACCAAAAAAAAAAAAAAAAAAGGGAAACTAGCTTAACAAATACGGAGTAATCTGTAAAACATTAGTCTTTATTCTAATAGATAGGGCCGGCTACATGAACCTAGTTTTATTCTCTGACAAAATTTCTCTCTCCATTCCCTCCTGTCAAATACTATATGTTCATGTAAACCCAAATTCTATCATTCATAACTCCTTCCATACTAGTGAAACTGGTTCTCCCTTTCCCTATCCTCATATCTGCAATTCTTACCCGCTTCATTTCTCATTCTAATCTTTACGGTGTTCCCACACATCAATCTCAATGTATGCATCTCTTCTTCATCCATCTTTCTAATATGATCCTTCATTCCTTCCTAAATGGCCTAACATTCTAACCCATGTAATCGCACTGGTCTTATAGCTGTCCTATATAATCCAGCGTTAACTTTAGAGGTATGCTACGGCCACACACTCACACATACTTCTATCAGTGCCACCCAGACTTAATCTTGTGCTCTATAAATCACATCTAGGTCAATGCCTCCTTTTGTTTTCGATCCAAGTTACTTAAAACACTTATTCTTGGGAAACTCTTTGCTATCCTGCTACTACATCCTTGTTTGACTCCCTTCAAGTAAGTGATAGCTAATGTTGTACTGATATTGTAGAATGACTCATATCTTGTGTCAGGAGTATGATTGTGCTCTACCATTCCAATGGTGGCTACACCCACACTCAGGGGATAAATTTCGTTAGATAAACATATCAGTCATTTTTTCCAAGTCTTTCGGGAAAAGTCATGTTTGAGAAAGAGAGGAGGGGGGGGGTTTGGTGGTTCACAGCTATGTAAATTTTAATCCATACCATCGTTGACTTTAACCAACAGCAAGGTTGAGGGGCCTCAGCGAGACCAACCCTGAAGGACTTCAGAGAAAGTCTAGAGAGATGGACATAAAATTGAGGGATGGAAAATAGGAGAGATTTATTGGTTGGGAAAGGAGGAAAGGAATGGCAGTGATGAAGAATAAAGACAAGAGAACTTGTTCCATTGAACTGTCATTTTCCGCTTGAAATGCCAGTAAACAGATGCTTTAAATGCCACTTTTACTTGCTGAATTATGCAAATGTGTCTATTTAATCTCATTACACTGAAGCAGAAAATTAAGACACCTCAAGGATTTTTTGCATCTGTAGGTCCTGTAGGGTTCCTAGGGTGCATGCTAAGCTATAAACAATAATGATAAAAATTATTGATAAAGATTAAAAGGTTTTGGCATTTTCTGGAAAAGTGACAGAATGGTATTAATGGCTCTTATCTTGGAACCTGTTGCATAAGAACTGCTGCTGATGGGAACTTAGTGAGAGGTTGAAGGTGAAAGTAGGATTAGGAGAGAAGAAATTTGTTAAGCAGTAAAAGCTAATTACCCTTAGTCTGTGTGAGAGGAGGACTGTTGGATTTCCGATCATCAATTATGATTGCCTTGGGCTGATCTGTGAAAATAACGACGGAAGAAGTTTATCCTCTTATTTATACCTACCTCTGGGTTACCATTAAGTCAGAAATGCATAAAATGGACTTGATTATAGCTTTTATATTATCATTTGAAGGTTAGTGAGAGGAAGGAGTGAAAATGAAATTTGTACTGGAACAGAAATGGCTACTTTGGCTAGAAGCTGATTTTGATAATGTCAGTAATGCTTAGAACCTTAGAGCTTAAGAATTGCCGGTGGTAGTGGGAGTTTGAAGGTATGATTGGTGGTGATGGTGGTATGAATAACTCGGTTGTGCATAATTAGACCCGGGCCTGAATGGACAGGATTGGACTGGACCAATAAATTCAGTTCTGGTTTCCAGTCTTAGAAAAAGCACATTTTTGGGTTTATTTATTTATTTGTAGACCATATAAGAGCGTAGAAAAATAAGGAGGGGGTTGTTATGATGGGGGATTGCTTATTTATTTGCTTGTATTTAGTTGGAGGGGGGCCGGGGAATAGGGAGGCTTCCTCTTTATATAGGAGCCCAAATTCTGTGTCCTAATACTAATAATTTTTTCCAATATCAATATTGATGCATGTCATTTTGTTCAATCCAACATTTGCTTACTATTCTCTGAATTTAGTATCTCTTCCGACTTCTACCTCTTGTTTGCACTACAGCTGGTGAAATCTTGAAATGCCTTTTGAAACATCGTTAAGGGGGTGGGTGGGTGAGGGGGTTTGAGGGCGGAGAAATAAAGTGTGCACCCAATCGCACATCTCTGATGGTTTAAAAGGTTGGCAGTGATGGTAATTGGTTAGCACTAAATATATTTTGTATTCATATTCATATGGTAATTGGTTAGCACTGACATCATATTATTTTCTTTTGTTGACTTGACATGCTTAAACTCACGGAGCATTTTAATCTCATCTTCTCTTTCATTTACTTTGGAACTCTGTGGCATGCAGGAAGTGAAGGCATAGATAAATTTTTTAGCTCAAAGCAGCTGACTCGGGGTGACAATGATGTCTTTGAACATAGCCCTTCTTCAAATGGACATGTAAATAGCTCACATCCATCTGTGAAAACCATCGTAACCTTGCTTGAGAAGGAAGTTGAGGATACAGAATCCAAATGTGCTGCTCTGATTTCTGATATCGGTGAATCAGAGACTTCCTCACAACACCTTGATCGTGTCAAGGAACTTGGTCAGCAAATTGAAAGTGTTCGTATGTTATTGAAGCAGTTGAAGAATCAAGGTTAGCCTATTTTGCATTTAAATATATTTTTTTGTCAATTCTTTTTTGTACAAGTTACTAAGCCCAGGGAGGAAAATCCGACCCTGTTTGGTATAATATTAGTGATTCTTTTTTGTACATAGTCATATATATATAGATATCTATATACTTCATACGAGTGTTAGACAAAAGGCAAATAAGGAGCATTCATTTGACACAATAATTTTGTAACTTGAATGTAAAATTTTGTATCTGCAAGCGCGATAATGCACTGAATTTTTTTTCGTATTAATTCTGTATCAATTTTCTAGAGTTCTAATTTTGTATAATTTTCATTCAATTTTTAAAGTTTTATGTTAGGTTTGCACACCTAATATATCATAACTAATACTCCGTATATAAAGCTAAATTTTTAATCAGGTCACAAAAGACATTCTAATATTATGCCAAGTGTTGCATTAATTATTATTTATTAGTATGACACATTAGGAAAAACTTGTGTGAGTCTGGTTCACGATAATATTATGATGGACCTGAAGTTCTACATGACTACACGTGCGCAACTGACTTTGTATAGAACACAGACTACACACACAGTGACCTAATATTAAATATAGTAACCTTAATTTAACATAGTAACCTTTAATAAATTTTGTGTGATTTTTACTATTGTTGCAAATCTGAAGTATGACGTTATGACCTTAATTTTAACTTAGTGACCTATATTATTCATATTGACTAGTATTTCAAACTTTTCATTAAACAAATTATTCTCTCGTGACATTTATAAAAACACAATCACTTTTATTTTAATACAATAACCATTATTTTAACATATTGACCTTTTTTTTTATTAATAAAACGACCACAGTAACACTACTCTTAGTGGTTCACAATAACTTAATGTGAACCCGATTTATTTAAGAGTTTGTAATGAAACATAGGATACTAATTTAATGTTGGATAGATTTAGATAGAGTTGGGATAAAAATTTAATGTTGGATAGATTTAATCATTTAAATAGAGTTTGCAAGAAAAAAAGTTTGTTTCTCAATAAAATTTAGATAGATTTTTAAGGATAAAATTGTTGGGTAAAGTTTTATTTTCAATAATATTTTATAATGTTTAATAAATCTATTTTTAGGCCATAAGTTTCCTACATTATGACAAAAGTGAGTATATGACCCGTATTGTAGACCCAACCTTGAGGCAAACCCAGGCAATCAGCCTGATTGATGAATTTTGTCAATCAGTTGCTTTTTGTGGGCCCCCCTTGCCAAATAAATTAATTTTATACTACTATTCGGTTTTGAAGACGTTAGTAACTCTAACAGTCTAACATGTGTTTCTTTTTTTTTTTTTTTTTTTTTTTTTTTTTTTTTTTTTAAATTTTATTAACATCTTCTCCAATCTTCCACCCCAACACCGTCATAGTCACCATCACTCCGACCACCATCCGAAACCCATCACAGCCACCACCATCTTTACGCCTTCTGCCGAACGAACCCAAATAGCCTGAGATCTGTTATGGGTCCAGCCCAATTTGTGGTAAAATGTATTTTGTATTTGGCCCATTTTACTTGGTCAAATTTTATTACATTTTGCTAGTTTGTAGTAAGTCTTTTTGGGCTTATTTTTGGTGGCTTTCTTAGAAAGCTTTGGGGTAAAATTTTTGTGAGATTAGGGCAGCAGCCAAGTGAAGTGAGGAGTGGAATTCATTCACAAAAAATGAGAACACACAAAAGAGAGAGAAAGTGAGTATTTCATTTTCGGATTTTTCTGGACAGCCTTTAGAGATTTGTCCGTTGCCGGAAATTCAACCGTTGGATCATCCTCAAATTTTGACAGCTTGTTCCTGACATCAAGGGCTTCATTTTGGACGGTGGAGATCGTCGTTTGAGCTCTAGTTTGGTCAGAATCGTCCTTGGACAGAAGCACTGTTTTTGGGTGATTTCTACTCCTCTTGTTCTCTAATTTTCATCTCTTATTGTTTGTTGTTGTTGATGGGTGTATAAACCTTTTGTAGACTGATTTGGGTTTATTTTACCCTCAATTATCAATAAGAGAAGTTAGGGTGGACTCCTTAACGGTCCCGTGGTTTTTATCCTTCACATCGAAGGGGTTTTCCACGTAAAAGTCTCGTGTGTTGATTATTATCTTTTCTTCCTATTATTGTTGGTGCTATTGTTATTTTGCTACTGCATTATTGCTGGTTGTGTGTGTGGTTATTTGGTTGTGAAATAATTTGGGTTGATTTGTTTGAATTATTGGTTGATTGTCTTGAGTTGGTGATTTTGTGAGAGTCGTAGTGACCTCTTCCGATCCCTACAACTTGGTATCAGAGCCGTGGTTAATATAATCACATTATGGAGTCGAGTAGTAGTAGCTCGATGGTTAAATTGACATCAACTAATTATTCAATTTGGAGACCTATGATGGAAGACTTGTTATATTGCAAGGACTTGTTTGACCCTATTGACTCTGTCACTGATAAAGATGGAAATGTTTCTAAACCATCTAAACCGGATAAAATGGAAGTTAAAGATTGGGAAAAGTTGAAAAGGAAGACTTTGGGGACAATTAGGCAATGGGTTGATATTAGCATATTCAACCATGTGTCACAAGAGTCCGACCCTTATGAGTTGTGGAAGAAGTTAGAAGGTCTTTATGAAAGGAAGACCGCCCATAATAAAGCTTCATTGATTAAAAGACTTGTTAATTTGAAATTGAAAAATGGAAAGTCTGTTTCTGAGCATCTTAATGATTTTCAGGATATTATTAACAAGTTGACTACTATGAAAGTTACTCTTGATGATGAGCTGCAGGCTTTGTTTTTGTTGAGTTCTTTGCCAGATAGTTGGGAGACCTTGGTTGTGACTATTAGTAACTCTGCTCCAGATGGTGTGTTATCTTTGGATGTGATCAAAGATAGCATGTTTAATGAAGAAATCAGAAGAAAGAAGATGGGAGTTGATAATTCACACGCTCTTGTTGTTGAGAATAGAGGAAGAGGCAAGAGTAAGGGTCCCAAAGGTCGTGATAACTCAAGGAGTAGGTCCAAATCCAATGATGGAAGAAATGTGAATACCTGCCACTACTGCAAGAAGCCTGGTCATATCAAGAAGTATTGTTTCCGTTTGAAAAAGGAACAGAGAAAGAAGAATGATTCACAAAAAGAGGGAGATGATAAAAACACTGCAGCAACAGCTTCCAAAAGTGATGATGAGGTCACTTTGATTTGTGCAACTAGTGAGTGTCATCATGTTGACAGTTCAGACACAGAGTGGTTAGTAGATACAGGGGCTTCATACCATTGTGTTCCCAAGAGAGAGTACTTCATGAACTACAAGTCTGGTGATTTTGGTAGTGTGAAGATGGGAAATCAGAGCTCAGCAAGCATTGTTGGGCTAGGTGATATTCGTGTGAAGACAAGTGTTGGGTGCGTGCTTACATTGAAGAATGTGCGCCATATTCCTGATCTACGCCTTAATTTGTTGTCTGCTAATGTTCTTGATTTAGAGGGTTTCCGACATACCTTTGGTGATGGTAAGTGGAAGTTGTCTAAGGGTTCGATGACAGTCGCTCGGGGTGAGTTGTGTTGCTCTTTGTACAAGACATATTTGAGTGTATGTTCTGGTGAGATTAATGCAGTGGAAGAGAAGAATTCTCCTAATTTGTGGCATCGAAGATTGGGACATATGAGTGACAAGGGATTAAAACTTTTAGCAGGTAAAACATTGATTCCTGTTGATAAAACTGTTTCTCTTGACCCTTGTGATCATTGTTTGGCAGGAAAGCAGCATAGAGCTTTCTTTTCCAGGAAGTCTACTAGAAAGCAAGCCAAGTTGGAGTTAGTACACTCCGATGTTTGTGGTCCCATTGAAGTTGAATCTCTTGGTGGCAATAGATATTTTGTCACTTTCATTGATGATGCTACTCGAAGAACTTGGGTGTATATGTTGAAGACAAAATGCCAAGTGTTCGAGGTCTTCCAGAAATTTCATTCCATGGTAGAAAGGGAGACAGAAAGAAAGTTGAAGCGTCTTCGAACTGACAATGGTGGTGAGTACACTTCGAAAGAGTTCAAGTATTATTGCTCACAGCATGGCATAAGACATGAGAAGACAGAGCCTGGTACACCACAACACAATGGAGTTGCAGAAAGGATGAACAGAACCATTATGGAGAAAGTGAGATGTATGCTTAGAATGTCTGACCTTCCTAAGACATTCTGGGCTGAAGCAGTTCAGTGTGCCGTTTATTTGATCAACCGTTCTCCATCAGTTCCTCTTGGTTTTGACATTCCTGATAGAGCATGGAAAGGGTGTGATCCTTCATATTCACACTTGAGAGTCTTTGGATGCAAGGCATTCATGCATGTGCCGAAAGATCAAAGATCGAAGCTTGATTCCAAGACTAATCCATGTGTCTTTGTTGGCTATGGTGATGAAGAGTATGGTTTCAGACTATATGATCCTGAAAAAAAGAAGGTTGTGAGAAGTAGAGATGTAGTATTCTTTGAGCATGAGAAGGGTGCAGATCTTCTGAGTACAAGGTATTCTTCTACTTCAGAATTGTCTTTTGATACTACTGATGATGTTTCTTCTCCTACACCTGTAAATCAGCCTGCAAATGAGAATGTTGAGGAGAATCATGAAGATGTTGGTGAGGTACAACCTGATGGTGATGTACCAATTCATCATAATGATGATGGCGTTCATGAGGATGATGGTGTTGATCATGATGAGTCTTCCTCAAATGAGGAAGAAGTACATGAAGAGGTTCATGAGCAGGGGGAGCAACCTACCCCTCAAGTTGTGGATACACATGTTCGAAGGTCAACCAGAGAGCACAAGCCTTCAACAAAGTATCCAAGCTCAGAGTTCATTCTACTCACCGAGGATGGAGAGCCAGAAAATTATCGAGAAGTGTTGTCTCTTGAAGAGAAAGATTTGTGGCTCGATGCAATGAAGGAAGAAATGGATTCCTTACAGAAGAATGAAACTTATGAGTTGGTGAAGCCTCCCAAGGGTAAGAAAGTCTTGAAAAACAGGTGGGTTTTCAAGAACAAGAAAGATGGTGAGAAGATTGTGAAGAGGAAAGCCAGATTGGTGGTCAAGGGATGTAACCAAAAAAAGGGCATTGACTTTGATGAGATCTTCTCTCCAGTTGTCAAAATGACTTCTATCAGAACTGTGCTAGGGTTAGCTGCAAGTCTTGATCTTGAGTTAGAACAGCTTGATGTTAAAACTGCCTTTTTACATGGTGACTTGCATGAAGAAATCTACATGG